CGTCGTAATAACTGAAATTGATTTTTGATTTGTTATTTAATTTAACTGTTAAATGTTAATACAGCCAACGAAATAGCATTCTTGAGATGAGCTTTCTGTAGGCTTTGAGGGGGTTGCAAGCTGGAGTGGAGCGCTGTGTTGGTAGGTAGTAGTAATGCATTTGGTTTCAGCTGAAGAGCTGGAAAAATGTTATAAATACCAAATAAACGCTGATTTAAATTCTGATTGCAATACTGATTCGATGTTGATTATATTAGTTCAGTTCATGCGCCCTGTGTATGATTTTATCTGGGAAATATTTAGAGTAAGCCGATGTTGCAGGCTGCATACGGTTGCTGTTACTTAAGTGCCATAGCAGAAAGAGCAGATATCGAGCAAACACTTTATGCCATTACGGACGAAATAACATAAAATCTTAAGCATCCACATCAGCAGCAGCGCAATTGCTTTTCTAAGCAATTTCACTTACATGACACACTTGTACACTTGCTCATTCCCGTCGACATGTGTCTACGAAATACACTCCCTCAGGGAACGAGTGTACATGTATTACATAGAATATTTGATTTTTATATTTCGTAAGATAAAAAATTTTATATTGTATTACGTACAGATTTCCTTTCAATTTCCTTGGAGGAGAGCTTTAGGAGCACTGCAAAGTATTTGAAAGCACAACCACATCATACACTTCTGAGTTGCTTTTAATGAAAAATAAAAAATTATTAAAATAAATTGGTATTTTATTTAATTTGGCTATCAAAAACTATTTTGTAATCTTTTCAGTCGCAGTTTACATAGATTTTCTTCGAAACTTTTGCGCTTCCCTTAGTGTACTTATCCTTCATTATTGCAGTTACTTGAATATAAGCAGAAGGATTCGCTTCACAAATTAAACATTTCCGTTTTGTATTCTACTGGCAAAACCTTTTTTACGATTTTATTCATATTGCATTTCCAACTTAATTTTCCATCACGTTGCTGAGTGCCGTCTCAGAGCTCAAAGGACCTACATGATGCCTTTACGCTTAGAAAATTATGAGTTTGCCACTACAATTGCTGTAATAACACTAAATTTAGCTGATTGTGAGTTTCGTATCCCTCAGGCCAATTATATTGAAAAGTTTGCACAGTCCGGGCGTCGTGGTTTTATAGACATGCTTTGGTCGCACCAAAACTACTTTCGCTGCTTCTCCAACAAATAACAAAAGCATTTGAGAACCTGAAGTTTTATTCCCGGTAATTTTGGATTTTAATTGTTTCTCGTTTGTTTTACGAGTGGTGCGAGTATGTGCGGGTTGCTGGTCTATGGATATGGATGTGGATGTAGATGTGAGAGTGGGTGTATTCTAATAATACGATAACATAGATGTCGCTGAATGCAAAATAGTTGTTCCGTCGGTTTCATTTTAGACAAGTAGGATTTCAGCATTGCAAGTCCTTTTTATTTTATTACGATTTATTTGTGTGTGCCCGTGTCCGTTCCACCACTGCAGCGAAATGATATTGCGTTGACACTAACTCTGGAAAGTCATTTGCATGAACTTATTCCCGACATGATTTTCAAAGTTTGCTAAAGTGTTTGGGGAAATTTGCTGAAACGCAATTTTGATGTTTGCTCGATTAGGAATTTCCAGCGGACATTGCGGAGAGTATGGTAATACCCTGAGTGGGTGGGGCAACTGATCAAAAGTTATAGCGAAAATTTTTTTAATTTATATTGCGGGAGTTGAGTTCTTTTTTTTTGGAAAATAATGATACTTTTGTAAAGTCTGCACTAATGTTTTTTTAAATATTTTTAAATAAATCGAAAAATTATTAATTTTGTTTCTTGTAATTAAATAATTTTAAATATTTTCGAATATTTGTTATGTCCCATTGCCTACACAATTTGTCTACACAATTTAGAAACTGAAAAATGCTGATAGCGTAGTGAACGACAAATAAATATATATACATATAGCTTCCAATATATAAAATCATGTTCCAAACTTTATTTCGTTCACACAATGGCTTTCGAATTCGTCAGATGCAAATCCGATGGAGTATTCCATCTAGATCAATTTAGATGCTAAGGTGTACACTAAAAAATATACCTGTATGGATGCGCTGAAGAAAGTATTTGTTCAGGAATGGGCTAAAATATCAGAAGATCACATTTTTTTTCTAGAGTTTTCTTTCAGTTTTCTTTCAGTTTTCTCGTATCCTTCGATGTTTTTATATTTCGGAACTATAATTGGTAACTGAATTATTGTTTAATAGCCATTTCAGAAATGATAACATCCTTCTAGGTAAGTGAAATATTTCCAAAATATAAACGCAGAGATCCTTCAAGTTCAAAGCTGCGTTGGGTTCTGGTTCCACCTAGTGCTATATTACGATATGTACTTTTAATTGAATTAAAAAAAAAAATTATTTATAATATATAATATACAATATGTATCTATATTCATATAATTTTACATGTTTTCAATTGACAAACTAAAGTGAATAAATTAAATAAATGAAGCTTTAATATTAAAAACGATTAAATTGAAATGCATATTTTACTACCTTCAAGAATTATTTACTTTCTTTTTCCGAAATATGTTCAATTAAATATTGAGTATATAGATGTAATATATCATATATCAGCATCTTATACAAATACACATTATTTTATTAATCAAATAATACATTTTTGTTGTGAAAGTACAAATAAAAATTATATTTTTCTTTGGAAAACAGAACTTTGTATTGCAATATTCTCTACCATTTCACCATTGCGGTTCTAAAATTAATTTCAGTGATTATTTGCGAAGATTGCCTCCGGAAATTGAAGGTGCAAAAGCAAAATGTGATCTCTCAATTTGTTTTAGAAATTACCAATTTAACTTTATTTATATTTATCATTAATATTTGTAAAGGAAAATTTATTAAACAAATTTTCATATTTCATATTTGAGTATAAATGGAATGGAAGTATTTTTCACATATTCCAAAGCACGGCCGTCGCGACGCTGTGGATGCTCGCACTCCTAAAATCATGGAGCGCATTTCTGTCGCCTTTGGAAAAGTTTGAAATTTCGTAATGTTTTACGTGATGCTGTGCGGCATTTATTTTTGAAATATGCTAATTTTGTAAATAAATTTATTCAGTTTGTTCAATGCAATAAATAACATTTATTTCGATAAAATATGATTTCAAAGTGAAGCGCAAATAAAGCAGTCACTTCTCTTCACGCAATCAAAATTATGAAATCTTTAAACTTTACACCCACAAGCAAAAATGAGACTGTCTATTTGTCTTTGAGTTTATATCAGAAATAATAAAAATTAGAAGCGATAAAATAACTTAAATTCCTTTCGCTACTTTCACTTGTTTTAGAATTTCTCTGGTTATTCAAACATTTCTTAGAAACTAAAATTGATTAAGTGTGACTAACTCCTCCGGTCAAAGTTATTACAGAAGTTGAAAGTTGGTCGTCCTGCGTGTGCTACTTTCATGTCCTTCTTTGAGTTCCAATAGAAGAATTAAATTATTTCTTGTGATTTTATTTTGTAATTACAACTCTCATAAAAGTAAAGTGTGATTTGGAAAACCACATTTTAATTGTTCATGGAATAAAGCTACTTGATAAGGAATAAGTTAAAAAAAATAAATTTTCAATTAAGATACTCGCAGATATAAAATATTTAAAAACTTATTATTGATTTCTGAAGCATATCAAGTCCAACTACAGGAGAAATATTTTGAACTTAATTTAGAAATTAAATATATAAGACTGAAGATAAAATTATCGTATTTATAGAATAAACGGTTATCTTCTATGAGTGACTTAATCCCGTTTATCGTAATCGACATAAAAAGTAAATATTTTGCTAAACTTTACCTCTACAATCATCAGAAAAAACAAAAACAAATTCGAAATTTATAAAACATAATTAATGCATTGAAAGTACCATATTTCAGTAAACCTCTTCACTCTACTCATGCAAGCACTCAATACTTAACTTAAATTAAGTATTGTATATTATATACATTCATATAAATGAAAACCAAAGCAAATGCGGAGAAGAAATGCAAAATTCAAATAACCAATTAGGATGTGGTATAGATGTGCCCGAAAAAGAGTTGGACCACGATATTATTTCGGATGATGAGTAAGACGGTACGCATATCTGTGTCATTTATATACCACTACCCCAATTTTACAACTCTTTACAGTGGAAAGCGCTGGACGAAGGACTTGTTTAATATTATAAATGGTAACTGTGAACAATTTAGAAGAGACGATAAGTTATTGAAACAGCATAATATCAATTTAGAATATAATTGGTTCTTAATTTTAGAGGTTTATTTAATGGCGTTTTGGTATGTTATAAAAGGAAATAACATTTCTGTGTTAAAAATGTTTTTATACAAATTTATTCAAGTAAGGAAGCTTTACTGCAAGTAAAGCTTTCGTAGACGGATCTCTTAAACCTACCTCATTGTTTCAACAACTCGCCAGCTAACTGCAATTGTGGGAGTATATTTAGCAGACAAATTAAAACTACCAGTCGTGTTCGCACAATAAATATATAAATATCTACTCGAATTTAATATAAAAAACAAACGTTGACTTGAGTTTTCTACAAGACGAAAGGACAAATGCACATAACCAATCAACCAATAACTTAAGCCACAGCAGTTCACTTGAGAGACAATTAACGCATCGAATTGACAACCTTTCATACATTTTTATTAATCATCGATCGAGCTTTCAAAGCAAATTTTGTTACCTTTTTAACCAGACGAAGTCGTTAACAGGAGACTATGATTTATATTGGTTATTGTCATTCAAGATGCGACAATGCGAAGCAAAAATTTAGGTTTTGACTGCATCAAAAATTAGCATCACATGCAATAGATAAGGTTATTCTACATATGATACCTTGAATGTAGTTCTGTTTGATATATGTCGCTGACACAGTGCTGTCAGTTTGATATTACTAAAATTACATAAAATACAAACAAGTTATTAAATCGAGCTACTATTATATTTACGCCAAATAAAAAATAAATCGAAATCCTCAATAATATAGATTCTAGTTTTTTGTGGCCATATTTTTCTGCTGTTTTAAACCATCTAATCCATTGTATTACTCATTTTTTTATCAGTAGAATAATGCATTCTCTTTGTCAGCGAAAGTGCTGAGGAGACTTTCAATTTTATTTGTTATAGGATCTACTGCAGCTAGAGATGATTTAGTTTAAATTCTTTCCTTTTCATTTTCTAGTAATAGATTATCCGAATTAACTGCATCAGTTTTGTCGAGATAAATAATATCAAGTTCATCATCATCTTCTTCCATCATTTCGTCCGTATCGACATCAAGCACTGGAAAGTCGTTATCATCACGCCCATCATCATGAGTTTGAACCGGAAAAAAATTCTCTACCTGGCTTTCTATTTTAGTTTTGATTTCCGCCTTCACATTATCTGGAAGTATACGCTCCGATTTAATTTCACTGTTGGTATCGTCATCGTCATCTTCGAACATCGTGTCCATATCTACATCAACCACTCTAGGAAGATTTCTATCATCAAGACCATCATGCAATGTATCATCCTTGTCCTTAGTACCCTTATCGCCCTTATTACTGATGTTGTTTGTACTAAACGTGGAAGAAGTGGGACTGCATATTTCTTGAAAGGATATATTTGCAAAACGACCATCATGCAATGTATCATCCTTGTCCTTAGTACCCTTATCGCCTTTATTACTGATGTTGTTTGTACTAAACGTGGAAGAAGTGGGACTGCATATTTCTTGAAAGGATATATTTGCAAAACGGTTTGCAAGTTGTCTCAAGGTAAACATTATTAAATTTTGTATTAGTTGTTTAGAATTTTACGGTAAAACGAATTTTGTAGCTCAGAAAATGTTAAAATCCTTTTAAGGAAAAACCAGAAACAAAATTGGTTTTCAAAGTTTTTTAAAAACATTAAAAATTTTAATAATGACAAGTTAAACAAAAATCATTTGTCAACCAGATAGGTTGCTAGGCCACAATTATTGTATAGTCAGGTATAGGTATTGGTATAGGTATAGGTATATAGGTATAGTCAGTTCATACTTTTTAACAACTTCATTTTACCATGAACCGCTGAGATGGACTGATTGATAAGTTTCGGCACTTGAGATTGAATAAGTCGCAGTGGAAACACTTAAGTTAGATTGTGCAGTTACCACAAATTGAGTTTTACTATGGAATCCATGGATTATATGCACCAATAGTCAGCTTATTCATCGCTCATGAAACGAATTTATCATATAATCATTGCTGGATTCAACTAACCATTTTATTGCATCTCAAAGTTAAGTGAACAAAAAAAGGTAGTACATTTTTGATGCACAATATTTAGGGAATCGTGATTTAACTACGGATTTTAAGATATGTAGATATTTCGAGCTTGCCCATTCAAGTTGGTTCTCCATATATTGAACTGTAATATTAAAAATTTTTACATACGTATATTACTGAAAATTTAAAATAAACTATAATTTTGTTATATGTTATAATTATCAAAATTTATTGGAATCCGTAGTGAAATAATGGCGCTTTTCTTATACTTTTCAATTCATTCTTAAATCTAAAAACAATACGCCGTTGGTCACAGAAACTAATGAGTTATTAAAAAAGGTCTTCAGTAAATATATTACCTTCACAAAGGAAGTATTAAGAATGTCGTATTTCGAAATCGTATTTCTTGTATTGAAGGTTTTTGATCTAAGCTGCAAATGAAATCATCTTTAATATTCGAAAATGCAGAAAATTGAAGCTCCTACCAAATATAGATTCTAAGATACTTCCGATGGCTAATTGACTGAAATCGTATTTTTTTTTCTTCATGTAATAAAATGATGTATTGAATAAAATATATGTAGCTCATTTGCTTAATAACTATTTTTGCTTAATTTAAAATTCTGAAACGCTTAAAAAATACGTTGTATATAAATCTAAAGTGGTATAAATAAATTAAAATAATAAACTGTTTTTAATTTGAATGCGGAAAAATTTTATATTATCTTTAAAAATGTTGGTTTTGAATCTATCAAGTCATACCTTGCTAGAAGTACTTGAATGATTCCAATCTAAATAATTAAGTGGATTCAATTAAAAATAAAAATCGTCTCACATATGCTGGTTTTCATTCCTTATAAACGTTAATATGGAAGACCCAATATTCCGCTTCTAGCAAAAAAGTGGATTCTTAAGATTATAAATGGTTGTAAAGATCCCAATTTCGTATAGATTTTCCAGTAATAATAAATTATAATTTAAAATTCAATAAAGTAGAACTCTCTAATTAAAAAAAAAATTGTGAAATGTGAACGTTATTTCATAGTCATTGTTCCCGTCGTTTTATTGCATAGGAGTTGTGCTAAACTAATTATGTTAGATTTAGTATCTAAATATTCGTAAAGTGAAATAAGCATAAAAAACAAAACAAAATTAGATTTTAAATTTTATCCAACTTTGGCAATTCAATGCTTTCCATTCAGTGAGGATTTGTATCTCAAACCTTGTGATAAAGATATGTGCTGCTTAATGCAGTTTTTTGTATAGAAAATATAAATCTCAAAAGCTAAACTAACGTGGAGCGAGTATTTCAAAAAGTTAAATAAATAAAAAATAAGTGCTTTGTAAAAGGTCTTGAGAATTTTGGTTTGGATAAAAGCACAGCTTAATGAAAAGGAAACATTTTAATGTGCACTGAACCGTTAATTTATATCCTTACGTGTTCGGCAATACGTAATATTTCTCGTATGGTTCGGTACATGAAATCTCAAATTCTCGAAGAGAAATACAAAATTTTGCTTTATAGGTAATAGCAAATTGAACGATGAGGAAGCTGCGTTTTAAAGCAGTATTTGGGGGCAACAAAGCATTCGCTTTCTTAATCTCGAATACTTAAAAAATTATGTATGGGCTCGTATGCATGTATGTAAATTCAAACACTGTCAGGCGGATACGGAAATTAGCCGTATCAGGAATTTATTAAAGGAAGCGTGCTTTGATCATGTATCTTTATTTGTAGGGAGTATTTTGTGGTAGGGAATAAAATTTGCTAATGTGTGCAGATTGCCAAATTTCCTTATAAGGCTCCTTTATAAGCTCAATTGATTCCGATGATGTCGAAATGAGGCGATAGAGATAAGCTGCGTTCCGCCTATTTGCACAAATTACGTTAATTTTAAATCAAAATCCATGTACTGTAGAGAGATTAATATGTGGTTTTTCCCAGTACAAGTAAGTTTATTTTTAATTTTAATAATTTTGAACAATTTATTTTTTATCACGAATGTTAATATTTTAATGATGTGATAATTTTTACATAAAATTAATTTTGTTCATATTGCAGAACTACTTAAATTTGGTATTGTTTTTTATATACATTAAGACTGAAAAGTTTTCGGAAATTCTCATTTAAAATTCGCGCGCTGTATATTTTTCGATATTTTAAGTTTATGTAGTTTGGCAGAACTGTCCTTAATTACTATGCCAAAAATGAGCTCGATCTGTCAGACAGTTCGTTTACGGCAGCTGTTGAAACCAGTTCACCTCAGTAGTGCGTTGCGAAATGTCTTCGACGGTCGTACGACCGTCCTGGAAGGCTTTGTACCACTCATAAACTTGAGTTTTCGATAAAACTGATTCCCCATAAGCCTTTTGTAGCATTCGCAACGATTCTGCACACGAAATTTCGTTCGAAACACAAAATTTGATGCAAACTCTTTGTTCAATATTTTTTTCCATTGTTTTTTTCGCAACGCCCTACTGAGGTGAACTGGTTTCAACAGCTGCCGTAAACGAACTGTCTGACAGATCGCGCTCATTTTTGGCATAGTAATTAAGGACAGTGCTGCCAAACTACATAAACTTAAAATATCGAAAAATATACAGCGCGCGAATTTTAAATGAGAATTTCCGAAAACTTTTCGGTCTTAATGTATAAGTATGACCCCACAGCGCTTTCGCCTCATAACATATAACAGGACACTTACTTTATTTTTTTGGGAGTCCTTTTCTAAATAGATTTAAATTGACTAATTGATGTTACAAAAAAATAAATTGCAGAGAAAATGTTTAAACAGTACTCGCAATAAGTTTGTAAAAGAAGAATCTATTATCTATATGGTTATATTCTAGAGTATATTGAATAAGTATACAAATGAATATAGATATAAAAATATTGAGGCTCACACTCCACATAAAAGGATAGAATCACATACATAGAAGTGAATCAAACAAATTTTTTTTAAAGTTAGTATGTTCTATGGTCAATAAGAGAAGATTGAAATTATCAAAATTGGGTGATGGGTTAATGGCTTATCGGTTAGAGGCTTAGACTTTTATGCACTGCGTCCAGCTTGAGCTACTGTGTACCCATTTGTATTTAGAAAATTAGTATATCGAGAAAATGAACCAGCTCTTTCGATGGGAGCGAATTCAAGAATTCTGTGTCTCCTATAACCTACTCCATCACAATTGATGTTCAGGTGTTTCATAGATTCTTCCTCATCATAGCAGAATCTCCAAATATTTGTGCTGTATATACTTATTTTGTGTGGCTTTTTATTGAAGGCGGAGTGGCAACAGAGAATAAGTTTAGACTTTTCTTGTTTAGAGTGAGAACGAAAGTTTGCTCTTTTGGACCAAAAGAGCCCCCAGAGATCGTATGAACTGTACATCTAGAAGGAGAGGATCATATATATAAAAGTGTACCCAAGTAACTTTTTTCAATAGGAGAATATAGGAAAATTCAATAGGAGTCAATTGGAGAAAATTGGATTTATTAAGATATCGGATGTCATATAAACAAGGTGATCTAATTTGTTCTTCCGTCTACCTATCTGTTTTCCTGATCACTTATCCGTCAGTCTATTAGGTGATCAACCAGTCTATGAGTTTTTAAGATAAACATATAAAATTTTATGTAGAAACTTCGTGAATGCAGACAGAACAAGTTAAAATCTGTTGACTTTGAAAAGTAATTTATATGTAGTAGTTTAGATTGGCATTAACCATTGTGTTCAGTACTATTAAGAAGTCATTAGTTGTGAAGCGTTTAAATATTGTTTAATAAGAGGATAATATAATGAATCTGTTAGGTCGTAAATGAGCATTGGCAAACTTTATTTATGGGTAATACAGCCAGTATTTTCTGATTTTTAAAGACGTTTCGAAATAAGTATGCACTACAGATGTGGTGAGCATTAGGTTTATAACACTTGCTTATTGAAATATATTCCTCAAATAACTTTGATCAAAGTAACAAACATAAGAACCTGTGTTGGTTCTGATTGTTGCTGATGATAAAATGTGTTAAATGTGTTGAAAACTGATCACTCAGATATATTATAAATATATCCATTGGGTGTATAAAGCATATATCATTATGTCATTTTTAACTGCATGATTCTTTTGTCATATCAACAGTTGTGTAATGTATATATCTTGTAAATTTTTTTGCCTTTTTAACTGAACTTTTATAGTACAGCAATAGGCTAAGATTACTCTACAAATCCAAAAGTCTTCACCTGAATTATGAACGGGTCAGTAATTAACTGTCCAAAGGTTTGATTTAAAAAAATCAGTGATTTATATGATTACAATAATTGATTTTTTGAAAACGAAATATTACTCACAAAATGTAGGATCCAATTATGTGGAGCATGGCAACAATACATATTTATGCAGTCACGCTCTATAAACTCAAATTTCTGTTTCCAAAAAGAGAAACTGTACAAATTACTGTACAAATTTATTAAAACCTTCTAATTTTTAGCTATTAATTATTATATTGATTGTTGCACAACTGATTAAAATCAACGCATTTTACGTCGTGAGAATTTTTTTATCTTGAATACATAACCTTGCACGTAAGGCCGGAATAACCCATACTACTTTAGTGGATTTTAGTATTACTT